TTCTGTTATGTTTTGTTCGTATTTAAATATATTTGCAAGCAATTAATACATTTTCTATTTATGTTAACCGCTCGAATTATTTTACTATCACAACACTTGAGAAAATACCGGCGCGCAACAAACTACCGCCACCAACTGAACCAACAAGCGGAATGACAACAAAGAAACTGAAGTTGCTTGTGTTGTGTATTGGTATTTTGTTGTTAGAGTTACCGCAACACACAGTAACATTTAGTTCAATATTCAAATGTTAACACAATTATATTATATATAATAGTAAAAGAACATACCTTTGAATGTATTTATTTTTACATAAAAACTATATATTACAAAATACTTAATAAAAGAATTAATACCTTTTTATTCTATAGTTCAAATATTTGTATGACTGTAACGTATTTTCAACAAATGTAAATTTAAACACAAAATTGGCAATGATTCAAGCTCAGGAATTACACAAAATTATTGCAACGAAGGGTGTTTTGAATGTTTTCTCTCAATTTTGCGCTGCTCTCAGTATAACAGTGTTGTGAAATGTAAAAATTTCAAATGACAGAAAATTATTCATACAGCTAATAGAATTGTGAAATACATATACATAGCATATAGTTTTTAATATTAATTTATAAGACAAAATTGAATGAAATCAACACTAATTTAATATAAAACCGTGAAAAAAATACAATTATTATTTTTTTAATAATAATAATTTTAACAATAATAGTTTAAGATTAAAATGTCCAATGATAGAGATCCAAATTGTGGGTTTAGTATATATAAAATTTATATGTAATACTTTATAAGTACTATACATTAACTAGTATTATAATAATAATAATACCATTCTTGTTTTCTGTCTTAATAAGAGAGACCTTTCCTTAATATAAAAGGGTAAAAACAGTAAACCAAATTTTTTTTAAAGAGATAACTCATCAGTATCAATTATATTTTAAATAAAAAATAATTAAGTTCTTATACACTGTTTCCAATTTAAGGATCAAATAGAAAGCAACCTTCATGCTAACTTTGCAATAATTAATTCACTAGTAGTATTCTGAAATTTTTTCAACCAATTTTTTCTATATATTTATGGGAGATATAGCGGAAAGACTTATTTAATTGCTTATATTAAAAATAAGGGTTTCAAAATTTTCCAATTTTCAAAAGGTTGCATTTTATTGCAACCTTAAGATCTATGCTATACTTTATTTAGACTTATCTCATATTTTTAGTTACAGACAGAATTGTTTTATGTAACTTATTCTTTTGCTTATACTCGTATACCACTTTTGTCACTACTATAGATTTTTTATAAGACGGAGTTCTTTATTATGCCTCAATTCAAATCAGAATTAAACATATTACTCAAAATAACAGATTTAACCAAAATCGTGTGTCAAAACGGTGCACTCTGTAAATCGGAATCCAGCCGATATATCATTTTGCCATACTACATAAACCATTCAATGCTTAAAATTGGATGCAGGAACAATAGAGTTTGAATGACGATTTTTCCTATTTTTCTATTATTTATGTCAGTGATGAGAGTTATTTTATTTGATTGAAATCGTAACAAATATCGTAATTATAACATCTAAAGAAGTAAAAGTTCACAAGTAACTATCATAGAACTATTACATCTCCAAAAGTGAAACTATTGCGGAGCATTTGGTTGGGAATTGTGATTGTCTCATACTATTTTGAAAAGTTGCCTAGGTGTGACACAAGCCATCCATTCTGATCACGTAAGGTATAATAAAATTGAAGATTTCAATGTAGAAGACACGTGGTTACAGGAGGACGGTAGTACTAGCCATGCAGTACGTCTTATTTTGGGTTTGTTATAAGAAAAATGTTCTACGTAAGTAGTTTCACGTTTTAGTGATGTGAATTATTCACAAAGATCACGCGATTTGTGACCGCTGAACTTTTTTATGTGAGGATTTGTAAAGGATCGAGTGTATGCAAACACATCTCAAACTCTTGAAGTTTGAAGACGTTGATTGATCCAGTTATAGTCGAGATATTGTCACCTATGTGCTAATAAGTTATTGATCATGATCTCAAAGGTTTCACCACTGTACGATATTCCGTAGAGAATATTTAAATGACATTATATTTTACATGTAATGGTAAGGAGCAGACTATATATTGATAGCAAAAGTTTTATTGGAAATCTCAAAACACAAATATGTTTTATATAAGTTAATTTTGGAATCAGAAAATTAGTAATACTGTTTAATGGAAAAATAGAATATTAAAACAATAAAATATTAACATTAAAATCCCAAATGTATCATAATCTTTCCATGTAAGATCTCAGGTTAAAGGTGGAAGATTTAAGTAAGCTCGCTATATAGAAACTTAACTAACAGTTAGACTGTATCAGATAGTTGTTGTTACTTATACTGAAGTTAAATAATTTAATCGTATTAAATATATTTAATTATATAGTGAATTTACAACATTGTTGCTCTGCAGTGAGCCCGTTTTGTATAAAATAATTAATTATTTGCCATCAGTTATTTGTATTGAACTATTTGTTTACTATTATCACTTATTATTACTTCAATTAAATTAAAGGTAATAAATAAAAAAACAATTTGATTAAAATCGAAATTTAGTTTTTATTGGGCGAGTTATACCTAAAGTTTTTGTAGTTTAATTATAGCAGCTGAAAGTAAATATTACTAAGCATTAAAATCCACATAAATACTTATAATCGATATTGAAAACATAATTTATAACAAATTTGTAAATATATTGTTAATGTCATAATTATAATATGAAATTCCTATATATTTAATTTTATATATAATCTTTACTTAATTTTTTTAATGTTACCAGCGACATCTAGCTTATTGCTGCTGGGTGTTGTTCATAGCTTAAAACGCAAATGAAAAATTATTCGAACTCGAAATTCGATAAAGCAACAAATTCTATACACCAACCATCTTAGATAATTTCATTTATTTTTATTTTTCGAGTCAATTTTAGATAAAGATAACTCAGACGAACTGTATATAATTTTTATTTAATTATTTATTAAATTAAATTAAAAAAATTTCTTATAATTATTAATTAATTAATTAAAATTTTTGTTGAATTAATTTAATATTTGAACATTGGCAGATAAATCCTATATTCACCTTTGCACAATTCTTAGTTTGACGCTGTTTGGCTATTATGCCATTACTGAGAAGAGTCTCTGAAGCTTACTTGGACAAATTAAAACTATTAAACCCTATAAAGTCATTTGGTCACCTATTATGCTGTTCGTGATGAAAATCTTGGGAACATACCTGGACAAACTGAGGATATTGATAGACTTAACTTTTTTAATCAGACGCTCTTTAAGCGTCTTATAGCGTCTTCCAAATAAAATAGTTAGTAGAAGTTTAAAAGCAGTTAATAGTCTTGAGTATTAAATGAAGGAATGGAATAAAAACCCTATTAATAGAAATTAATAAGGTTTTGTTTAAAAACCTGTTCGAATCTGTTTAGAATAAGAAAGCCTTAAACATTTTTGTTATTGACCCGAATGAGTCGATTGTCTTAAGTCTGTTATATCGCCCCATTATTACGCTTATAATTCTTATCTGTTACTGATTGAAACTAAAACAGTTCTGTGAAGACGATTATACTATCTATGGTATCCAAAGTTCTAATTTGTTAGCAACGTTCATGCCTTACTGCTGAAGTATGAAGTCTCTATGTAAGTAAAATAAAATGCATCCTTTAGCCTGTGGGTTACCTGAAATGTCCAATCAATACCAATGTTTATCGATTTTTATACAAATGGTAATTGACCAATTGTTAATCGAGAGAAAAGTTCATCATACAATTTTTAATCCTCTAAAAATTGACTACGGCTACCACATTCAATTAAACCATTACCTGTACAAGGTTTACAACGGCATTGATATCATTTAGTTAATTAACACTTACCGGCTTTGCGGGCTTGATCGTGGTATGAGAATGAATGAATGAATGACAAAACTCCGCTAAGAGAGATGTTTGATTCGATAGTTGGAGGTAAAAGTCATAGAGGAAGTCTATATCCTCCCATATTTGCGACAAAAAGATCTGCGTTGGAGTGAGGGACCGCTAACCGTACTTGATGTGGGAGACTGGAGAGACATGCTGCGTTCGGCTGAAACCCGGTAATGGGTTGTTATGGGCAAATAAGTAAATAAGTAAATTAGAATTCAGTCAACTATAATTTGAAATAAACTTACAATAAAAACCCTTTATTCAATTCTATATTTGAATTTTTTTTATTAAAATTGAAATCGACTACATTTCTATATAAATTATTTAAGATTTTAACGATTGAATATAATTTTTTATTAAATATATTTTAATAATATTATTTAATAACAATTCTTTAGAATTACAATATTGTATCGTTTTTCGTTGATGTGTTTTATATAAAATTTATAGGTATGTTTTTCTTTATTTCTTTTTGGCCGGCTTCGGAGTTCATTCTATCAATTTTTAATTATATAAATAAAATCAGTGATTTAGTGTCCTATTTTGTACATTTTATTGACTGTTTTTTTTTTGTATATTGACTGTTCTAAAGACGAGATTGAAGTACGTATTACGAAAGAAACCAACTTTACTACGATGAAATAGACTAATTTGAACTATATTTTGAACTTTTATTTATAGTAAGGTACTTAATATTATTTAATAGAAATTAACTTAATTTAATAAATATAAATAGATACTTCTATATTAAATAAAATTTTAATATTTGTCTAATAGCATGTTTCCACTGTCTCATTTAGGCAGTTTTACTCATTAACGCCGCTAAAGAGGATAATTTATCATTATCAAAGAGCTTTCACATAAATGAGCTCATTATAAATAAATCAACTGATTTGAGGTGAAAAACGTCTGCAACTCTTAAAAATAAATTTCCCACAAGGGAAATTAACAAAGTTTGAAATATTTGTCATATGTTTTATATGTTAAATGTAAACAAACCATTTTATATGAATAAATTAGCTTATGCCAATGAAAACGACCAAATCTTAAGTTCATTACCATTTGTAGTTTTAGCTGCAGTGGAAACATGATAAAAGGCTGACCTGACTAAACACTGGTCAAAAGAGCAGTTTACAGTTTGGGTGGTATCGTTTGCTATTTCGTTTGCTGTTTCGTTTGCAAGTGTCTTCATACTATACCCTTCATATAAGGGTGTGTGAGGAAATACTGTTCGATTTGCTAATATTTCCGAACCATTGTAAAGGAATATCCTTAAATCAGTAGCTCAAAAATATAACTTTATAAAAACATAACACTAAAGACTTAAGACAATTAAAACTATTATTTAATAATTGGACTAGGATTGTCTTCTACTAAAAACCTGAAGAATAAAGTCGAATTCTTGTATTTTCTAATTGAATGAGTAAATATTTTTACACATTTAATCTTTTTTTCTATTATCTACACAGCTTATTATGGAAATATTAGTTTATATGACTAGATATTAAGATAATATGATTAAATATTTAAAAAAGTTATTATCGCTTATTATATGATATAAGTTTTCATAACCTTTTACATCGATTAATGAAAATATATTAGGTTCTACTATATAAATATTATTCTTTAATACTTTAAAGTTTTAATGGATGGAAAAATTGACGATTTTCGTTGTCGTATCGTTGTATGAACATTTAGAAATGAGTTTACGTATTTAAGTTCTTCCCGGTGCACTAGGTACATACTTCTCTGATGGTTGATATTGCCATTGAGCACAGATTTGATCTTGTTCCGTTTGATTATAACCAACTCTGAAAAATAAATGTTAAAAAAATTTAAGTTAAAAAATTATATAGTATTAAATTGATGGATCATGTGGGTTTCAAAAATTATAGATCATAGAGACCCCACAGAAATCATAACTTATTTTAAAAAAAATAAGGTTTGTTTAATGAAGACAATTTAATTCCTTTTTGTTCACTTCATTTACTTGGCGTTAATGGTTTTTATGTATAAATTTTAGATCCTAAAGCCTTAAAAGAATTATTCAAAATAATAAATTTTTTAAAAATCCGGTGCCAAATAGCACGGTTTCCCGAAAAACGGAATCGTATCCTATTAATTATAACACAATGCGGAAAGTTATCTCAAATTCTTAATAAATATATTCATCAGTTAAATAGAGAATGGTCTGAATAGCATATTCTAACATCGTTTTACCTCTCTAAAAAGCTATACTTCGATTGGATGCTAATAACATATAGCCAAGATCTATGTATTAGAGCATAAGAAAAATAAATAAAGACTTTTAGGGCTCAATATTTGGGCTTGATAGGGCTTGATATTTGGGCTTGTATAGATTTCTTTTTCAGAGATGTTCGATATATGGTAATGCCAGTAGCCTAATAGTTAGCAACTCTAACCATTGTCTCGGGTTCAAGCCTTTGATTATGAACTGTAAATATGACAAAAAAAAAAGAATCATGAAATAATTATGAATTTTACATATACATATATAAAAATTACAAAAAAAAACATTTAAATAAAAAAATAATTTGAAAGAAACTATGAAAACAAAATTAAAATTAACAATATTTTTTCAATAATAAACATTTATTTAAAACAACTATAAAAACATTAACTAAAATTAAAATACTGAGTTTCATTGCTAAAATAAAGATATAGCATATATATATTTTAAATATATATATTATATATTAGTATGTATATATATATTATAAATAAAAGAACAAATAAAAGAAAAAATATTTTTTAATTATAATTAAAATTTAATACATTATGGCAGCGAATGATATGTTAATAAAATAATTTTCTAAGCTTAGATTAAAATTAAAATAATTATACACTAAAAACAGTCTTTGTGGCATTTAATAATGCCAATAATTATTTGGCAATGCATTTTGGTGATAGTAATAGTTACTACCACCTCCACCAGCACCAAAACTATTTGGTCTATAATAATAGTTATTGGCAACATTATTTGTTTTCACATCCTCTGGCAACTCTCTGCGCACATTCGAGTGCAAAGTATCCCAGATAACGCGTGGTCTTTGCACAATTTCGCGAAATATATTCACTGCTGCTAAGCCCACAGAGGCTATTTTCACACCCAAACGGCGTGTGAAATTATCTAAATTTTGCTTAATAGATGGCTGGCTTTGTAAGGCTCGACCTCCATATTCATTACGCGTAGATGATTGTGGATTATAAAAAAACTTTTGTGCCAAACCATAAGGATGGGAGAGTATCTTTTGTATAAGATTCCCAGCATTTGGTGGTACATAAAGTTCAGCACCACGAAATTCTATGTCACATTGATTTGCTCTATAAAAGAAATCTTCAAACCTTTGATGTGATGAACAAGGACTACGCTCCTGAAAACAGGTGACCTGCACAACATTATAGAAAATTGCACCCAAAGTGTTAGCCGTTTCTGTAAATCATAAAAATAAAATTAATTAATTAATTATTTATAATATAAACAGTTATATCGAGTACCAACCAGTGTTTAAAGACTGTAAACATTTTCGTAAACGTGCATCGCAATCGCAGTGGGAACGTGTGAAGGTACCTGTATTACAGAGACCACGCTTGCATTCTCCCACATTCAAGACATTTGGACATAAATCATGTTCTCTGCAACAGCGGTCCTCATCGATATGATTGCCTAAGTCATTATAGTCAGCAGCCGCAGTGCCTTTTATGGGATAAAATTAATGTATCAATTGTTCTCTAAATGTTATGGGTATAATATAGTTAGTACCTGGTCCACACCATTTAGTACCGGGATAAATGAAACCTAAACCACCTCTGAATTCATGTCCATATGAACCAGAACTCTTGCAGACATCCTCTAACTCCATTACAGATTCACGAGGTACTTGACGTATGCGTCGCGGATCTGATTGTAAAAGCATTCGTTGTATATCACCTCTAGAAGAATAGAGTTTATAAGTTAGTCCACTAGAGAAAATTCTAACGTTTATTTATTTAATATATAATATTATTGCACAAATATATTTTTTATACAACTGAATATAAATTATGTTAAAAAATTGTATTTGTATAAATGTAAGTCATTACCTATCGGTGTGCATCTTGCAGAATGGATGTCGGGAAGATAACTCCACCATGACTGACATTGTCATATCAGATATTAGTACAGCAGAAGCTTCGCTTAGTTCTATTGGTATCGTTATGAATAGCGCTACAGTCAGCAATAATATAAACATCTTTAGAGACATGTTGCCACTAAAAATTAAATAATTTTACAATGGATCATTATATATTTCTTTAGGAGCAATGAATTTAATTTAAAAATATATCGAAAATTATTTTACTAGTATCAAAATACACAATTTAAAAAAGGTAAGGATTGTAAATAAAAGAAATAGGTATTTGTAATGAGACCATACATCATGCTTTACAACTACTATTTCCGTAGTTGATCGTTGATAATTTACCAGGACGATCAGACGTAATGTTTTGAATTGAAAATGTTGGCCCATTGCCATATATTTTTTTAACCACGGTTTCCCCTTGGTATAGTTTATATCCTGAGATGGGTTTCAACACATAATTATAGATCTGCAACTTGTTCTCGAATGTCAATTTAGTATTTCGATTAGAAACCGAATTAAATTTTGCAGTTTAAAGCTCAGTTTACTATACAGATTATTTCCGAAGTATTTTGTCTGTCCTATCTACAAACGTGTTAAAAAGTTATTTAATCTAAACCGCGACTTTTTTATTTGTAATTTGAGGTTAAAAAGAAATATCTATACTTACAGAACAATATGGGTTTATACACTGATACTAAGACATATTGTTTTGATTATTAATGGACTTCATATCTATCTGTATTAGAGTAGGAACATATACGCAGAGAACAAAAGTACGAATAGAGATAGTTCATTTTTCTAGTGTTTGTTATTATTTTTCTTTTATTTTTTGTCCGTCAAGCCGATCACCATCGAAGTGATTTGTACAACTTCTACTTGTATAGTAAACGAAATAAAACAGCCCCTCTCTTTTTTCGGGATTTCTCCCCGCGGGATCGGGTTCGCATTACTTCGGGAAGTAACCCTGTTAAGTGGGCTATACCTTCCATATGCTTCTTGTAGGAGTACGTTTTCGATGAATTGTGTGATCTTGTTCCAATTTTCTGCTCGTTCTTTAATTTTTTCAATGATCATCTCGACAGTGAGATTGAAGTTGAGATACAGAAAGTGACCAATATATTCTTCAAGCTTCTCCAGTTTTTTCTAGTGTTTACTATAGTAGATTTTCAATCAATTTATTTAAATGATTAATAACATTAATTTAGACCTCACATAATAATAATATTTTAAGTATGTGTATAGTGTAAATTTATGTGTATCATGATAGATCTTAAGGTCGAAATTCTGTCATAAAAAAACTTCCTAGTGTATAAAGTGAAAAGAAAAATTAAAGTACAAAATATTAGAGGATCTCTGTTTCAAATTTTAATTTGATTGAATTATTTAAAATTTAATGAATAAATAAAAAAAATCAATATATACCATAAAATTTATTTAGGATCACCCAATTGTTTTGAATTTTATGAGTTTTCCTAAACTTAGTTTTTTAAACTTTAATAATTTAACATACTTCACTATAATTTTTTCATTATCTATTCAAAGAGGTACTTTTCAATTATGATAATGAACTTAAATTTCAATGTGATTATGTTAAAAGACTTCAAAAGTATTATTTCTTTTATTAAAAAATAATAATAGTCTAACGTGTTGCTCCAGTTTAAACATATGATGCTATGTAAACATTAATACTTAACCTTCACGGGTTATAATCCATCAACACCTCTTTGAAGCCCTTAAAGTCAAGTGACACAATGTCTTTGTTACATTGTTCAGAAGATAAATGAGAAATTAACACTAACAATAATAAAATTATGAAGTGAATAGAAGAAAAATGTACGTGGTTAGTAACTTAAGTTTTATCACTTTTGAAATTAAAGTTAATTAAATAAAATCAATTAAAAATAAAATTAAGTTTTGTATTTTTAATAATTTTTTTTTACTTTTATGCATTACATGAGAATGAATTTTTTAAGTATAAGAAAGTGGGAAGTCCAGAACTCAAAGGCAAGAAATTTCTAAAGCCACCACTGGAAATTACAAAAATGTTGGAGGACTGAAAAAAATATTCGTATATCTCTCTTTGTTTGAGTTCTAGGATGGTCTAAGCGAATTTCCTTATCTATCCGTACTTTTGAAGCCAACTTATTTGATTAATTACGGTCTGTAAAATAGTTTATTGAGTTTAGATTAAATATTGTCAAGCAAAAATCTGACAAATATTAAAAAATACTAAGAAGTACTTAATTCTAGTTCCTTTAAGAATAAGAATAAGAATTAACAGGGTACTAGCTCCCAACGGAGCAGAGCACTGCGACCCGATTGATCTTTTGTGCTACAACTGACCTTAACCGAACAGAAGACATTCTGCTTTCCGAATGAAGGCTAGAATGTCGTCCGTTGAGGACCTCCTAATGTCAGAAGGAGAGAGTAACTCTACCCCCAGTGACCTCCTCCTTGCCCAGATCAAGACTAGGCAGGCACAGAGAATGTGCTGGAAGTCTCGTCTACTTCTAAGCAGAGTCGACACACCATCTCTTCGGACAGACCTATTTTCTTAAGGTGATAACGCAGTCAATGGTGACCCGTTAAATATCCCACCAGCAATCTCAAATCTGATACCTTACCAAAACTATATGGGTGAACCAGCTGTTTAGCCTGACGATTGCCTCGACTATCGCGCCAGTAGCGACATCTCTCGGCTGAGATCCATTTATAAATTAGATACCTACTTGTGGACCGACTTAATCCACAATAAGGTTCCCGTCCACAGATTTGAATGGCAGACCCTGCCCTCGCAGACTCAATACGCTTTTTTCCTGTGTGACCAGGCACCCAGCAAAGCGTTTCTTTGTTTTTGCTTGCCAGCTGCTGCAGCGTTTCATAGCAGTCTAATGAAAGCTTTGAGAAAAACCTCCAGGAGGATAGAGCTTTGATTGCTGCTGTTACTAAAACATTTTTATAAAATTAATGGGTCTACAACTAACATCCTGATTATGATGATTAGATAAAAGGTTAATAAGGTTAATTAAACTAGTGGGTTTATAATTCAGCTAACCGTCAAGCTATGAAGTTGATTTAATTACAAAGAGAAACTGTTTGTCTGTTAGATAGAAATAATATTACTAATTGGTTATTTGATGGGACACCTTAGCCGGCATTTATTTATGTTATATGAAAATGATGTTTTGAAGACAAATACAAATCGAATAGTTATATTAGAAATATATCAGAATAGAAGAATAGTTATATTAGAAAAAAATATTTATACATAAAAGTATAAAAAACGTGAAACTTGAGTATTGAAAGTTTGTACTGCCTTGGTTACTTGTGAAAAAAGAAGATCACTCATCGTTTCTAAATTGACAGGCACGAGTTCTAAGCCTGGTACTTGCAGTCCAACAATTTATACACGGACTATGGTGATTGGTTGCCTGAAACTTAAAGCTTGAGTATTGAAAGTTTGTGCTGCCTTGGTTACTTGTGAAAAAACAAGATCACTCATCGTTTCTAAATGGACAGGCACGAGTTCTAAGCCTGACACTTGCAGTCCAACAAATTATATACGGACTATAAACAAATTAAATAAAAATTTGAATATTTCCTAAGACCACAGATGATGAGTACTTGGAATCAGCGTTGTATGGTCAGCCAAATTTCAATAAATTAAATAAATTTTTGTTGTTGCTTCTTTATTACTGTTCGGAGTCTTCTAGTTTCTGTTTCAAAATCAACGGTAGAGTATATAGATCTTAAAAACGTATTACTCTTTTTTTGTATATACTAGTTTAAACGAATGAAACTACCCTCGCAAGTTTTTTATACCAGAAAATTAATGAAGATAAAAATTCCATTTCAGAATTATCATGTGTAACAAAATTAACGATGTGAAAACTTCATAAAATTCACATGAAAATTTTTTGACCTTTTGAAGTGGCAATTGCAACGAAGCTTGAATGAGTTTAAAGGTTAAAATTGTGCTATATATTAAGCTACACAATAGATACATTTTATAAAAAGATATAACTATTAAATAACTTCATCAAAATTTGCAAAAAGATACAGATACAGTGTTGATTTGCAATTTTTTCGAAATGTGTCATCTTAATGTACTCTTATCATATTTTCAATTTGTCAAAGATAGTTTTCGTGACCAAATACACAATTAATAGATATCTATAATATATTATATTATAATTATAATTAAGATTTATTTAAGAAAATATCAAAAAAAAATTTCATTATTACTTTTTAGTTTTATAATACATTATCTTCCATTGTGAATAGTGAGTATAAGTATGAGAACAATTGTGGGCGGTTAATTATTTAAGTTAACCTTTTGATCTAATAAATGTCCACTTAATGCCACTCGCACTTAATGGAATTTCTTGTAAAATAAATGAAGCTCAGATAAATGTTAAAAAACTCTTCCATTTATTACTCTATAAAAGAATTATGTGTTCCAAGAAAACCTTATAGTAAAAAAAAAACTGAGTTCTGCGTTTCTTTATTATCATTTTTTTTTATTAACTTAATTTAAAAGAAAATATATCAAAATGGAGTGTTTCTACTTAAAAATAATTACAATCGTAAATTTAATCAAAAGAACTTATTTAGGAGGAAAGGGGATTTTTATAATGATTATATTAATAGAACGTTTAAAAAGTATAAAACAAATCGGGCTAAAGTCATACCAACACAAAAATGGTATTCTGCATCCGACAACGTGTGTCTTTGAAAGACAGATGCTTTCAAATAATTATTGATTCTTATTGATTCTACCGAAACCAATCATACTACCGTTTTGAGGACTTAACGCATATCCTATTCGTTTGATAAGCTATAACATTTTGTAAAAAGAAACTTAAAACTTCATAAGTAATTTTCAATTGTTGATCGTACTTGGGGACGCAGAGTTGTCAATATTAAAAACTACGAGCTTTGAAATTTAACTTCATAAGTTAAGTAATTCAATTCTTGAATGCTCTCCTAATATATCATATTACTATATCTCCTCATGGTAATATTAATATGTCAAAATTGAAGACTTTGAGCTAAAGGTAGCAACTCCAATTTTTAATGCAATCATCCTTGCTGTTCAATATGAGCTAAAGAGAAGGATTAATC